ATAATTCACAATGGAAAGCTCAGTGATGCTTTTGAAGTGAAGACAGGAGACGGGAGTGAAACAGGGTTGCCTACTATCCTCTATGATATTCCTGATTGTGGTCGACTGGACTGGGTCATGGAGCAAACGGTGGGGAGCGAGAAGAGGGGGATACGCTAGCTGGACCGATGAGAAGACCACAGAAGAAGATTTGGATTTCGCCGATGACTTGTGTCTAATGTCACACAAACTTGAAGATCTACAGGCGAAAACTAACAAGTTGACAGAAGAGGCAGAGCAGCGAAGACGGACTTCATTCAGGTGAACATGGAGAAGACGGAGGTGATGACGACACCGCACCACCACCAACAACAACAACAAACTCCAATCACCATCAACGGGAGAAACTGAAAGGAAGTAGCCTCTTTCACCTATCTCGGCAGCACTGTTTCAACTAGAGGGGGGCATAGACGAGGACGCCAAAGGCAGGATCGGGAAAGCAAGACAGGCTTTCTTTAGCCTGAAACCAGTGTGGAGATCTTCTGCATTCAGCATGTAGAACAAGATCGGGATTTTCAGCACCAACGTGAAGTCAGTGCTTCTGTATGATGGTTCAGAGACTTGGCGCGTTATGAAAGGCATTTCCGATAAACTACAGACATTCATCAACAACTGCTTACGGTCGCTACTGACGAGGAGATGGCCAGAAAGAATAAGCAACAAGGAGCTCTGGGGACGAACGAACCAAGAACCTATCACATAACAAATATGTAGAAGGAAGTGGAAATTGATTGTGCATACACTGAGAAGGCCGACTGGGGACATCACGTGTCAGGCCAGGCACTCGAGTGGAACCCCCATGGGAGGTGATGAGTTGGACGTCCGGGGGTGACATGGAGGAGATCGTGTGAGGAGGAAATGAGAGCTTCTGGGCTGTTGTGGAGCCAGGTTCAAAAGATTTCGGGGAACAGAGTTCATTGGAGACGTGCTGCTGAAGCCCTAAGTTCCATTAGGAACCCAAAGGACTAATAATAATAATAATAAAACAAATAACGTAAGTAGGTACATTATGATGGGAGTCCGAGGGCGAAGTCAGAATGCTTTCTGGCAGGTGTAAGGGTAGGAAGGTGGAAGACCAGTAGTACTATACAGATGCTAGTTTCCGCATGAGAAAAGGGGGTTGGAATCAGTCGGCCTCTGATATTCAGGTGACGGAGAAATCGGTTTTCCTGCCTACCATTAGCGTAATCTAGTCTCAACCAAAAGATGTTGAAAGGTCTTTTGCAACAGGTCTCAAGCAGAAGTCCCATAGGCTCTGCAATCACGTAGAACCAATCCCTTCTCTCTTTCAGATAGGTTGTAGAAACAAATTCCATATAGAGACTGGGAGGAACCAACTACCTATAGACCTCTAGCAGCATACAAAACCCGAATAGGCATAACCTACCCTGTATACCTTTGTCTCCTTCCTTGCCTTCACTCCCTGTTATCACTATTAAGCCTCTTGAAACTTACCCAAACTTTCATCCTGCAACCATTGTAATTGATCAGAGCCAGAGGAACACTTCATATTTTCCTATAGCCCCACTACCAATTACACACTAAAAGTTTCAACATCTGGACCCTTCGATAAATCGTACAACAAATATATGTTACTAAACACTGGAATATCAATCCATAGATGCTTGCTGTGATTCTAAGACATGTATACAGAACTCGAGTGTGGTTATTAAACAGACCTCACCTGGCAAATGCAAAGAGTATGCGAAATTCACATTACGAGCGTCTGGAGATTCAATAGCTAGCTCTCGTGGATTTGCTGGTGTAGGCACAGCATTTGGTTCCCAAACAGAAAGTGCACTTCTTGACTGGATGACAGTAAACAGCCTTCAGTGTGAAGTCTGACTGAATGGACCTGTAAGAACTAGGGAGGATCGTGAGATCAACCAATGCCTATTCATAATCCCCACCTATGCGTAGACCGACTGCAGTTTAGATGATGGAAAGGATGAATTCCATCTGAAGCGTTCGATTTCTTGACGGTAAGCAAAACGTAGTCGCAATAGCAGGTGACTTCAACACATAATTTGGAAAATTGTGCCAATCGGAAAGGTACCTTGGAGGTATCTAAGGAATCCTATATCAACGAACCGACAACAGTGATCGTTTGCTGCAGTTTTGTTTTGACAATCACAATTCAATTCTTCTCGAAGTTGGCAAGGCTATTTCAAAGTTGAAAACATGTAAGGGAGCAGTGGGACCTGATGGCTCGATAATCAAAGTTCTTAAGGATAGATGTGAGAAATCGTTGAGTAGAGTAACGAATGTTCTAGGTGATGCATGTGAGACAGGTAGTCCCATCAGATTGGTCCACTTCACTGATCATTCCAGTTTATAAGAAGGTAGAGAAGTCTTCTTCCAACCTCTTCCGACCATAAGGAAATCAGTTTAACTAGCTTCGTATCAAAGATCCTTGGGCTCGTAGTTATCCAATGCCCAACAAGAACTCGAGGACAACAAACTCGAGAAAACCAGTCAGGTTTCAAACGTGGATGAGGGTGTATTGATCAAATCTTCACCGTTTGACAGGTTCTCGAAAACAGGTTTACTAACTATTGGCTGACACTTGTCATATTTCTTGACCTGGAGCCAGTGTTCGACTTTTTAAGTGTCAGGTGTTGTGGCAGTATCTAACTGTGAAAGGAATACCGATCAATTACGGAACTCTAATCAAAGCCCTATACTCGAACTCATGTAGACATGTAAGGACTTATGAGGAGTTGTCATCTTAATTGACAATAATCTGTAAAGTCCCACTAGGCATGCCCATTACTGCCGTTCATGTTTTGACATAGTTATAGATTTACTGATGGATATAACCCTAGGTACTTCTGGCTTGAGAGGGATTTACTTACTCTGAGGAAGGCAGCTGGTCGACTCGGAGTAGACTGTCGACATAGTTAGGAGAAGACATTGAAAGAATGCAGAGTTTTGTTAACACATTAAACAGACATCTGAATATGGTTAGCATGAGGTGTTTGCGATCAGACGTAAGATGATTCTTCATAACTGCTTTGGAGCTACTGCCAGTTTAAGGAGTGAGAGTGAAGCGGTAGAGTGCGTTGACGACTTCAAATACTTTGGAAGTTGCATCACCCTGGACGGACCGGTTGCTCACAAAATCACAGTCCGGATACAGAAGCCGGCCAGGCATTTGCCAAGCAACGTTAACTGTGTCATCTGAAAAGTATCTTAGTAAGATAGATTAAAGGACGAATATATTGCACTGCAGTCCACCCCATCCTATTATACGACTGTGAGATATGGCAGTTGAAGGCAGATATGTAAAGATAAATGACCTTTGACTGTAGGTGTTTTCGCAGCACTTCTCATGTACGGTGGGATCACCATGTGACCAATGTTAAGGCTAAAGGAGGAAAGCAAATCAGTTGACGAAGTTGTCAAACTTCAGTGACTCAGGCAGTTCAGACATGTGTTGCGTATGGAGAGCCACCACCCATTTCGAAGTGATGTGTTAGCTGAAGTGGAATTGGGTTGACCACAGCGACTAGACCAAGACTTTGCATTAGTCCATGAAGTCTCTGACTGTTGATCTAAGCCTTTTAGGAGGGTGTAGACTGTGTGATTGGGGTCCTCATGACGACAGAAACAAATGATAGGAGACGCTTGGTATCATAGCTGAAAATCAATCACAATGGTGCGGATGTATTGACTCTTTGATATCTTTAAGTTTGTAACATTTTCACAAACCTTAACTTTAAAATCCCTTCTCTTCCCCTGCACTTTTTCTTTGAAAGCTGCTGTGAAGTGCGTTAACTTGAACTGGTGAATTTCTGAGCGAAGTTCTACGTTGGTCTTGTCCTTACCTCCGCCTTTCATATATGTGTAAAGATAAATTCATATAAACTGATAAATGTAATAGGTTGTGACCCTATCGTTCAAATGCTGCGACGGTTATATATTATTAAATATCGGTTATTTTTTAAGTCCACTTACTTTTTGTTATGCCTTATATGAATATGTACGACAAAATAATGTATGACTATATTGTTCCAAATATATTGTGCTAATACATCGCACGGTTTAGACGAACCATGACTTCATTAATTGATTTTTTCTCACCTAATTTTTCAAATTGCTGTGATATGCTTTTTGATACAGAATGCTGAGATAAATACGCGGGACACAGCAAAGTCATCTCAGTTAGTGAACGCTAATCACTTCTATTAACCTGTTCATATCTGATACTCTATATTTGGTGCTGAGTTTTAATATTGTCAATTTTGTCGTTTCAATAAGCGCAACCAAAGTTACAAAAAAAAAGGGATAATCAGATACCAAACACCTTATTAAGTCTCATTCCTTAGTAGTTATATTTCATCAGAAAGACCAAAATATGATACAACACTGCAATGTACATTAACACACGTAGTTGTTGTACTAACATCTACTATTGATTGTAGACAGTGCAATTTATCCAGCACTATATGAAAGTTTAGTATATGAAATCAACCATTTGTCTGAAGGATGAGAGGTAACTTCAAATGAATGCATTTGCAATAATCTAGTTCTTTCTATGTCCTTGTGTTAAGTGAACTCTCACCACTAAATAGTAATGATAATTTTTTCTATAGCACTGATAATGAAGTCAGTAATAAATCTTAGTTGTACGAACTTCCAAGGAAATCTTTGTTACAGTTTTTAACGTGTGAATTACGCTACAGTGATCTTTCTTAGAAAAACACTGGATATACTTTATTTTAGTTGGTTGAGGTAGAGAAAAATATGTCGACAAAGTTGCCAAGCCGAACACTGAAAGAAATATTCTAAATTAAGACGTGAGACAGGTTTAATAAGTGCATCTCATTCTGACTTTTAATTATCATTTTGGAGACTGGAATTTTGTGTAGGCAAATTATATTTGTATATTAAACAGACGAATTATTCTGGAAAAAATATTTAAAAATATTTTTATGTACTTCAGAAACAGTATGTCTGACCTGAACGAATTCAACTTCATATTTCTGCATAAATGCTTCGGGCACATCACCAATCGTAGCATAAATTTCCATCCCGGTAATTAAACCGATTACTTCATATGTAATTTTGATATACACCTAAAAATAGGGGGAATGATATATATTTAGTAATAGACTATAAAGCTAATTCATATTACATCCACGACATTTCATTTTGTATGAATGAGGCAAGATATGTCTGCTATGTAAGTACCGAATTGGGAGTAGATATACAAAATGCATCTTCCATCATCATCAGCATTAACATAAGACCAAGCATTATTCCACAATGGTCCAAGTTGACACCTCATATCAGCACAATAAATAAGATGAAAGGTGAAGAAAGAAAAATCTGTCAAAAGCAGTAAGAAGTAGTAAAAGCGAGGAAGGAGGTTAGAGTAAGGGTAAAACTTTCGCACTGTGATAGGGTATAACTCCATATTAGATTTTTTGTTTGATATACAGCATACAGGGGTACGGTATTGCTTGCTGAATGACTTTTAGAGCAGAATTTATTGCTCATATTCATATGAAAATAATCATTCGACCTTCAAACTTTCTTTATATAGCCAACAGTTCATCAACTTAATGGTAATAAAATTTTCCATATATCTGCAATATGTGATGAGATGAAGGAGTGAGGAAATACTGAATTCACTCTATCCATCTTTACTATAACTAGAACACAGGTTTATCGAGGCATCCGCACAGGATCCCATGTGCCAATAGAGACCGATCAATTCGATCCAGTCAATGACGGTATAATACGAGCAATAGCACATTTCACCCCCTATTGTTAGCCAGGGCACCGCTGAAGACCAGTCCTGTAGCAACTAACTCAATTTGAATGGCAAGAAACACATTCCAAACATTCTCAAATTGCCACTCAAAGTGTTTAGAAGACCCTGCAACTTGTCAGCATCTCCACTTAACAGGACTGTAATCTGCCTATTCTAGATCTACCAGGCGTTCCGCTTACATACTATGAACTTATTAATGTAAGATTTGTGATGAGCTACGTACCTACAGCTTTGAATTCACATCAGTCAGTCAGCCCTAACAGGAGCCTAACATTACTTCACAACGGTCTAAGTCGCCACAGCTCATATCAACGCATTAAGGTAGTCGACATCAAAATGAAAAGTGAGGAAAGTAATCAAACTGAAAGAAAGTTTTGAAAAAAGAACAAAAAGGAATGAGGTGATAAGGCATTCACGTAGTTCACTGTACCTACTAAGTGTCTAGCAATCGTACTGGTTAAACTGCTTAGTTCCTTCAGTTTCCGACATTTTGGAAAGTGTTCAAGAAATCTGAGCAAAGCTCTTCTTTGTGTCCTTCTAATATATTTTCTTTGACAAATATGCGTAAATTAGTACAGAGTTGGAGTTAACATATGATGAATAACTGTCAATTATCTAACTGAGCCAGAGATAAAGCTGTTTGAGACCTAGTTGCAGGATATGTCTTGATCAGTACATTTGATTGTCTTCTACAAAATCACCTTTAAAATCGTCATGAATAAGGACTGACAGTTTGCTAACTGTTACTTGTATTTAATTCTGTTGAATTTGTTCATCCAAAAAGAAGCAGTCGTTAATCTTTCACCGTTCTTGTAGCCCGTTTTTAGCCAATTTTCATATTCCATTGTGTCACTTTTCATCGTCGTCACTAGAAGTGGACCTTTTAATTCACCCTGAGCTTCGGTTTTGCTTCACAGAGTTCAGGTTGTCATACTTTGTTCCTGACTTAACTCATCTATTTACTGGTTTTATTTACGTAATCTTTTTCTTGATGGTACTACAACTGTATAAGCCTAACACTCACAGCATACAGAAAGTAAAGCAATGCAAGAAGTATCTGGCTTTTCCTATCATGCTACTCGGAAATTTGAAGTTATCAAAAAAGCTAAATGTTTCCTGAATATCATCTAGAAGTTGGCATCCGAAAGGAAAGTTAACCGTTGTGACAACATTTCATCTCTTTTCACTGTGGAGTACACTAAGAATGTTCTGCGGCAGACTGAAAGTCGAGTTTACAAATTACCTACAAGATGTTGTAAAGGTGACTTTGAAAAGGCTACATAAAACAAGGTAAAGCGATTATCTTCAGGTTCTTTCATCTCCAGGGATATCAGATCAAGCCTGAAAACTACTAACAGTAAGACCATATCAGCTTCCAGTGAAAGAAACGGAGAAGAGCAAGTCATTGGCATCTAAAAAGGCATGTAATCCGCAAGTCATACCAGTTGAGCGAGCCACATAGTGACGAATTGTGCACAAAAGGGGATCACATTTCAATGATAAGGTTGTTAAACCAGGATCTCCGTCAGATTTCCACATCAAATGACTCTGAGAAATGACAAGTAGTTAGAAATAAGTGGCACACTAAGAAGCCAGTTACATTCATCAAATCAACTGTTATTCCTTAACCGACAGTAGACAAATTAGAACTCCGAGAAAAGTTTGTAGTCTTTCACAGAGATAAAGAAAATAGGGATACGCAACCATGTGACAATTTGGTAAGTATACCAAAAGTCATTATATTCAAGAATAAAGAAAACAAAGGTAGTTCCTGCTCAAAACAGATTTCCACTACTTAAAGTCATCTTCAAGTCAACAGTCGGGGGAACTCTTAGTCTAAGGAATTCTCATAAACTTCAAGGAGCTGATATGTGTGTGCATATGGATTTGTCTATTGCTAATCAGAAAAAGAAAACGAGAAGCAGAGAAAGAACTGCAGTTCCGATTAGCACCAGGACATAGAGATCTAAAAGTGGTGGGTTTTTGTGTAGTAAGGCCTTGGAAAGAAATCACGCAGAAGCCACTGTGGATAGGACGGAAACTGACTTAAATGGTTTCGTCGTCTTGTATACAAATGCACATAGTCTCCTGAATAAATGGAGCAAGCTAAGTGACATAGTAAGCACAGAAAGCTTTCTAACACAGGAAACATGGATCGCCTCTGAAATCGGTGATTGTTAAGCACATTTATAAGGATTCTTTCTTTTTCGAAGTGATACATTTGCACCCAAAGGTGGTGGTGTCATCCTTTACGCGAAAAACACCCTAACTTAAAGTTATAGAAATAATTGCCCACAAAAGTGGGACACGTCAAACGCTACGTTGCCAACTGAACTGCATGTGATATGATTTTAATCTAGTCGCAGTATACATTAGGCCTGAATGTGAGGTGAAAGACTTCCTCCTGAATAAACTGACGCTCTAGGTGTATAAATGCAGCATCATGTAATTCCTCGGGTCATACATTATTTGAAACACCAATTCTCTTGGTTCCTATATAGTACATTATCACAGTAACCCGATACGATTATCAGTACACCTCACCATTTCTAGACACAGTGTTCTACCATGCAAATTATGTAAGATCAACGAAGAACCTCGCACACCTTGGTAAAGGTGACCATGGTGAATTCCTCGTCAGATTCACAGCAGCTGTTTTGTTCCAGACAAGTATCCCAGATAAACCTGTGTAGAAAGTCAACATCGCAACTAATAACTCAACAGCCTCTTCTGAAGACTTCAACCATGAGGTCTCAGTTAAGGCTCTATAGTGTGCCTTCAAACAGTTTTACGCTCGATTTACTCAACAGTTCATTGAGTGGGCTCTCCCTTGGGGACGGAAACACTAGTTTATAAGGATAAATGGTACAGTTTGAAGTTTACTACGACTTAAGGAAACGTAGTGGGGTTTTGTCACTAACCTGGGTACTCCCAAGGTGAAGAAGCATTGCGAAAAAGCCCGAGCTAAATGTATCACTGCTATCCACCGTTGCCGCATGTGCTTCAAAATATGTCTCACTTAGGCTGCAGTAGAACACCCCGAGGCTATTTTTTGATATGAGTCACAAAAATAAAACGTATCGTGGTATCTCCACCATAATCAAAGAAACGCAAACTAATCAGCCAACTGAAGGAGATAAAGACAAAGGAGAGGCTATTGGTGGATATTTTGTTACGGCTCATACCCAGGAATCTCTAATGTACATGATTTCAACAGTAGAGGCAGTGACATCCAACAGAATAATCCCTATGGGCATTTATCACAATGGGATATTTAAGTTCTCTGGATAAGTGAAAGTAAAACAGACCGATAAAATATACCTAAGGCTGCTTGCACAACTAACACTTCATGTAGCTGGTTCGTTGACTACTAGATTTATATTGTCCTTCAGCCAGGGTATACTGGAAGGACGCCATAGTCACACCTAGTCACAAGGCAAGCTATAGGCAACACCAATCAAATTACAAACTGATAACCTTGACTTGTACTCAAGTTAGAATCGTAGTGAGAATAATCAAGAAACCATTACGTTCCACTTAAGGAGTAAAACTATTATCATATTCCTAAAATGGCGTTGCCAGGAGTTCCTTGCGCCTGACAAACCTCAACGTCAGAGAAAGTTGGATTAAGTTTGAGGATAACTAGAAGTCTGAAGATGTCATTTTCACAGACTTTAGTAAGGAGTTCTATAAGTTGCATTACTTCAGGCTGCTCAATGAAACTTGGAAGTTACGGAATCATCTGCAGTCTGCTTGCCTGAATCACAGGGCTCCTTTTTAGTATGAGACAAGAAGTAAGAATCATTCTCAACTCTCCTCTTCGAAATCGGGTCAGGGCGTAGTGCCTCGAGACACAACCCTAGATCCTTTACTATTTCTCTTGTATTTAAATGAAAAACCGAGTGCTACATAAGCCCTCCGTATGTAAAATCTGTTGAAAAATAAGGGATGATGACGATCTACTCACACTCCAGACATTTAAACAGTTTACATACTAAAACATGCAGTTTTCTATCATTGGTTGGACAGAATCGATAGGTCACTATTAGGATAAGGGCTACCGTGCGGATGCCTCAATTTTGCTGGTATTTTCGTTCTGATATTTAGGGTGCATAGTGGCTAGCAGCGGAATCCAGGACACGCTTTTTTTCCTATTTAGGAGTTGTCAGCTGAATCTATCTACTTCCCAGTGAATGATGCTATTCCCACTAAGACTCGAACTCGGGACCGATTGCCTCAAACTCCAGAGCGTTATCCACTAGGCCACCGAGTTACAATGACCACTTCTTCCGCGACGGGAATAGTTTGACTGAACCGTTGCAGAAGAAAAGGCTATCGTAATTCAGTGGCTTAGAAGATAACGCTCTGAAGTTTGGAGTGATTGGTCCCGAGTTCGAGTCTTAGTGGAAGTAACATTGCTCACTGAGAGGCAGGCACATCCAGGTGACGAGTCCCAAATAGGACGAAACGCATGTCCTGGGTTCCGCTGCTAGTCACTATGCATCCTTAATATCAAAATAAAATTAGCAGCAGAATCCAGGCATCCGCACAGGAGCCCATATGCTAATAGTGGTCGAAAAATGGATGTTCCCTGGCAACACAGCTAAATCTGTAACCATGAACATGGGATATGCAAACAACAACACTAAAGACATTGATGAGTTTCCTCTACCCTCAGTATTGACCTAAAATGACCTAGCAGTCACAGTTAGCCACGATTTAAAGACCACAGCGCACCATCGATTGATGGTAGTTTGGAATTTCAGGAAACTGGGTATTAGGTAAAACTTCTACTAGGATAATTGATGACATGTTGACCACCTATGTATATAAGCTGTACCCGGACTAGGAAACTGTGCATAAATAGCGGATCCTTATTCGAAAGGTGATTGAGACCTTCTTGAAAGACTCCACTCGTATGATCACCACGATAGTTAGCCTGATCTACAAAAGATTTTCCGGAGCGTGAACTTCTCTTTATCGTACCACAGATACAGGAGACATCTAGTCATCCCATACCGGATTTTAATAAATGACTTTGAACCCCATCTATCTTCTCTTATCCTTTCTACCACGTAGGAACACCACAGAGGACACAGCAGGATAGTACAAAATCAAAGGACGAAGGTTTTCTCCATACAGCACTGGTTTTAGCATCGAGTAACCAACTATTGGAACCAATTTCCAGAAGAAGTGTCTAGCTAGTCAGTTAACTCATTCAAGAGAGGACTGGTTAAGCGCAATGATGTATCTGCAAAGGAGTGATGTAGACTGACAGCCTACAGTCTTCTATTCTCAAACCACAAGTCTGAATATAAATCCTAAATCTTGTTGACATGGCTCTCTATTTCACCTTGATGATAATGTTGCAATTAATAATATATACTTGCAGAATATAAACATATCTCATCATCACTTTCATTTGCATTACTTACAATTTTAGTATGCCCTTATGTGTTGAACACATCCACCAACTGACTTCTTTTTCACGAACTCCGGTATGTTAGAATTCCGTTATAATCTCATATTTTCATAGATTGTAAGCATTTGTTGAGAACATGACGAAATAAAGTGGTATAATACTATTCTGCTTATTCTGTTAATCTTGCTTTTCCCAAGTTTATAAAGGGAAATATGTCGGTGAAATTCTTATGAGTAATTAATAGTTACAGGAAAGTGATTAGTCACCAGTAAGAACTATCAAGACCTGGTGGCTGCTCAGTACACTCGCCTAACTTACATCCACTCGTTCCAATCAAACTTGTGAGAAATGTATGTCATCGAACTACGTAGAAGGCTAAACATGCAAACAGATAACAAGACGAATATTATTCTAATTCTGTCGAATCGAAAGTTTCCTCAAAATGGATTTAAAATTCATAGCGTAAGTTTTAATAGTTACAGCTGAAATTTAACAATTGTTTGAAAAATCAGGTTACTTTAATAGGATTGTTCATCCGCGTAACAGAGGAAGCAGATGTCGAAATCCTGGTCTTTGAACTGGATGGACAAAAACAGTGCATCAACTCGTAGATTTAACATACCTGAAGTATAAATCCTAAGTGACTTATGAAAATATAGCAGCTCAAAAGAAGTTATCAAATATTCTGATTATGAAATAAGAAATTTTTTATTTCATGAAGTTCTAAAAATAAAAAGGCACCAATAATTACCAACGTTGGGACACGTGAGCAAACAAGTTTTGATGGGCTGCCTACAATATCCGTTGGTGTTTTCTTAGGGCACTCAATCAATTTTTTAGTGTATTATCATAACACGTAACACTTGGTATAATCCTTGTATTATCTGCTTCATTCGGCTTTACTTTGCTCAGAATTGTAGAATTAGTAGAAGAAAGAAAAACGTCACTCAGACGATTGCAGCTGATGTATTTTTCTGAACTATCCATTGACTGAGCACTAGTGATAATCCATTCACAGTAGCTGACAAACGACTGACCAAAGCCTAAATATCAAGAAGTGTGAATAAGTTTTAAATTTTTGGTCAATTTAGCAAATACATAATTTATCTCAAACGATAAGTTAGTAGAAATAAGAAAAAAGTTTGAAATATTCTAGCTTTCATTTACTTTAACATTACCTTTCTTTGATCTATGAATGCGTTTGAATATTGAGTGTTCTTCAGCTAAACAATATGATTACACCACAACACTTTGTGATGCCTCAGTGAAAATTAGTCACAGAATCAACCAACCAAAATTTGGGAGTTTTCTCAGTCCATTCGCACTTTTTAAAAAAATGATCAGACATTCAGTCACTAGTTCCTTCCTCAAAGATCGAGTGATTTGTTAAGACAAACACCGTGCATAACATACATATTTGTATGCATGAGTCCAACTAAAATGCTGTGTTCAAATTGGTCAACACCAACTTACTGTGTTTATCTCATACAAAATATCCCAACATAAATGTAGACTTGAATCCAACCACAAATGTTACCTACATAAGAATTTACTGCGTAGATGGTTTAACAACGCTATGGCTAACGTTTTCTTGGTGTTTTATAATTTCGACGAATTTTATGTGACAATAAAGGACTGTTAACAGGGAAAAGATCTATTTCTTTTGTCCGTTATTAAAATGTTTAGATAAAAATCCACACAATTTTATAAAAGAGTGGTCTAGTTCACAATGCCACATCTGACAGTAACAAATAAAGTCAGCGAAAGTTAAAAGGAAATTACAATAAGTAAGGGTGACAAATTCACTTTTTAAGATGATAAAAAGTGAGTACACCTTTGATTTTCAAGAACAATTTCGATGCGTATCACCAATAATAATCTGGTGCTATCCAGATCACGCCTAGCCTACAAACAAACTTGAAAGTAAACAGTTGGCAAAGCACAACTCCATAAGCACTTCTTATTCCAATCGATAATTTCAGCATTTGGAAACATCTACTACGTTTATGGCGTACTCTAATGCTTCTTGTATGCCTGTTAACCAAAAGGAAGATAAGGATATCTACAAAGCTTAGTTTCCGTTACTGAAAAGCGCCAAAAGGATTACTTCACCTCCATGCTTCAGTTTTTAAACAACCTTCACAAATGAATTGAACGAGTAACCAGTGAGCATAGATGGGTTAGGTATTTTTGAGACTCTTTATGCAACAGGGGCGTCCCAAGACTTTGCAGCTCTTAGGGAGTAGACGTTGCGGTTGGTAGCTAACCTGTTATCTTCTAGACTTAATTTCTGTGTGTCCCCAGAGATTGGTGGTAAAACTAAGGTTGAATAAGTGACAAAATTGGCATCCAGTGGTGCTAGGAATGTTATAGACGTCATAAATCTCGTTCAGATCCTATGCATTCCAAAAGATAACGATAGTGCGCCACCGATCGCTTCTAATTCCTCGGACGGAATAAAACGTGACTAGGAATGCTGGTCTCCATTTTTTTCTATACACATTTAGCTTCTTAAGTCTAATGGTAAGTTGCCAGCAACAGAAACTCACAGGTGATTCTTCATAGGTTTGTCGGCAACACAGATCCAACGATTACTTTTTAGGCCGCTTTAGCTACCAGCAGAGAAAGGTATGCACTGACCCGACACTTATATAATTCCTTAGAGATCATAAAAACTAGAAAAAATTAAACTCAGTTTACAGTTAGTTTTGAGTCATAACCAGAACACGAAATACAATAAAATACAAACAGAGTTTGGATTCCATCATCAAAACATATTGAATAAATGGCTAATCAAAACATTAGTAGAAAGAATTTTGGCCAGCAGCCTAAGGATCGGCCGTGAACCCGAATTTCGAAGAGAGCGTCATCGAAAACCCAAACCTTGACACACTTTGATGAAAGGTATATGTTTACAGCATTTAACACCAGAAAACGAAGGCCTTGGGAAAAGTAACATATCGTAGTGTTTACTGTACATCGGTTTATAGAAATGCTTTAAAAGTTTGCGTAGTCCTACTGGTATACGGAAAGTATAACATTCCATTGGCTGTCAATATTTGATTATAAATTCAACTTCTAAGAAAGCTGGTGTGTGTTTGCCCTTCATAAGTAACGTCTTGTAACACAAATCAAACTGCGACTGCACTAAAACAGATCAAAGACCTACTATTCAAGAACTTGTTGAGATATGAACCGACCATTTTCGAAAGATATTGTTCTAACAAGGAATCATAAACATACAACGAACCTGAGCTCCAAATACACCAAAATGCAAGCTCAACCTTTGCCGAGGTTCATATGGTTCGGCGATGACGATCTGTTTCTCAATAAACAACAACGAACAAGTGAGGGGATTACAACTAAACATCTCCCACATATGTTAAGTCAGCAATTATATAACTTGGGTTTGTAGGTATACAGTTATCAGTGATATTTTGTTTGCATCTTATTTTATGTCCCTAATCATCCTTCATACGACAACCTTGATCCGAGCGAAACTATTATGGAAGGACAAAAAGAAAATTGGATGAAGACAAAAAACGGAAATTTCAACCATCAGAATTTTGTAAGATTTAAACAAGATCCATTTCAGGATGATAAGCACTATTAGCTGTTTGTAATGAAGCACAAGACTTGCTAAAATACTTTAAAGTGTACTTATTATAAAGTTCGACTTTTACTCAGCTGACAGGAGGATAGTCAGAATAACAAAAGGCATGCTGAAACAGAGTTCTCCTGACAGCTTACACAATTACAAACCCATTAACACAAACCTGAAACCTGCTGTATTTATCTTCAAATATATTAGTTCAACCACATGTACATGTAGAAGAAAGAATACCAGAAGAAATGTGAGAACGACACCCACTTCATTTTTAGGCAACTCTTCTCGATGTTTGCTTTTAAAAACTGGAGGACCGATTCACTTACAAATATCATATAACAAGACAAACCTCTCAAGGTTTGAAAACCTTGAAACTGCGGAAAGCTATTCCCATCAAAGTAGTACCTTGTGCAGAAGTGCAGTTTCAATCTGGTACACTTCGTGGTATCACAGAAAGCTAAAGCGAGCATGAAAAGAGTGTTATCGCAACTGACGGAAGTCTATGAAAAAGGAAAGAGTAACTGAATGAAGATAAATTAAGATACACAAAATTTCAAATCTTATGAAGAATGAATATATCTGTGCTACCGTGGTCGATTTTGGTTCACATCACCAAGCCTCAAATCATTGATTTTTAACATCTCAGGGACTCCAGTCAAGCAACCTGTGTCTCCTTACAATGATAAGACCGATAGTGTTATACTTCACAAGTATTGGTCTGGTCACTTGTATCTTCGTTCTAACTTAATTGCACATTGGCTGACACGGCGCATCGATTTGGACGGTAACGCATGTGCACGAGCCACCTCGATCGATAGAGGTCATAATCTTCGTCAACCGACCTGCCTTCCCTGCCTAGTACTCTATGTTTATTCTCACTTTTTGTTTCCACTGTCTAACAGCAATACAGTAAGATTGCTGCAGAGTGTGCCCGTCCTTTGACGGGTGATTGAATATTACAGCGCTACCAGAGGTAGTGTATGCTAACAAGCTTGAAATAGGATTTCCCTATTCGAGTCTGTTGTGAATATGTATGTATATGTATTTCACCACGTCACTCCCTACTCTTTTAATCTACAGGTGAGAAATGCATCCCAATAATAATGATAATGATGATCACTTTATTCCCGAGACTTTTAGTACATTTTGGATTTTTCAGTATGACATTTCGCAACAACTACATATACATATATATAAAAACTTTTTTACATTTTGAATTGTTAATATAACAATTTAAGTTGTGTAAGTATTAATAGCCAGAAAATGTTTACATTGTTAATTAAAATATCGAAGAGGTTATTTGTTGATGCAAAAAGTTGATAAGTGAGTTCTGTTGTAGCACTTTATTTCCCACATAGTATACGTGCTAGGTAAGACACAGTAGAGTTCTTATGGCTAGTTGTACGAGCGTACATTCCTATGTAATTTTTTCTTGTCCTCCCTGAGGTGATACAAGGAGTGAGAAGTGAATAAAGTGGCTTCAGAAAACCAAACGTTTCGATATTTTCATCTAAAAGGACTACATCAACTAAGTTATCTCCAAGATGTCACTTCCTGAGAAGTCGGAGGTATAAATGATCACAACCCGTCGGAAGATCTATCAAACGATAAATACAAAGACTGGAGTGAATATCCCCACTTTTCATTCCATCGTATTCCCCTGGATTGTATGAGTTATTTTAAGGCTCAGATCTACATAATGTAGTTATTTATCGCCCTTTGCACAGTTATGTACTGATACAGCACTAATCGGTCAACTAGGTTTGAAAACAATATGAGATCTCAAACAGTAGAAGCGGTCAAGGTGCTCATCATTACGTGATCCAGAAGGAACATACAGTATACATGGATATTCAATTCTTATACCGGATAAGAGATCACTTTTTATTGTAATGAAAACATGCCAATCTAAAGACGAAAGTGCTGCCTATGCTTAGTGATGAAACAAAGCTCAGTGAACCCTCAGCTAGAAGACATCAGGAAGCGGAAGCATAGGGCAACCTTTAGTGTGGCAAAACTCCTTGATGTGAATGTTATGAGAAAGTGCGAATTGGGTCATTAATATAAGTGCGAAACTCGGTCACTTTGGTAGAATGTAATTCCATTTTAGATTTCTCTATTTGATATTCCCCATATTGTGGTACAGTATTATCTACTTAATGGTGTTTGAGGATAAATTATTGCCCATAACCATATCATTGATATACTTATGTGCAACAATTTATGCTCTAAACTTCATTCAGTAAATAATACTGTGCCACTGTGCCACTAAACAAATCAAGTGGGAATTAAATCCACTGGAAATACGGGGTTTGCACCGTACTTGTAAAAATATGAACTGAGTTTCATTAATGAAATAGCCCACTGCAACGTCTATCGTCCGTCAATTACTCAACAATACAGAGACTGGAAAAATAACCAGTAAGGTTTCAATTTACAGGATTCAAATGATAGTACCACTCCATCAAAGCGTAAGTCGGTTAATCAGCCGTGTTTCGTATGCATTAGATTGCTAGGTTGGTTCGGTTTTGGTAATCATGGTTCTCCTGTGTTCACAACCATTGTACAGGGTGTTCATATAGGCTTATTTTTATTCGTAAACATCCCTAGATTGGGTCGAAGCAATAATATTCAGACCCACTACTGAATTTCTGAGGCTTCGACATATCTTGCATTGCCGCCGTAGGCTTCTGCGTTTTCACTTTGTCTGTTCTCTCTGAATCATTCGGCCTTGTGTATCTTGACTATTTTGTGGCTCACAGAGTCAAATATGCCATACTTTGCACCCGATTGTGCCGAATTCTAGACGGCTTGCTGATACCCACGCAATCATCCTATTTCTATCAACCTGCAGCACATTACAGTCGCTGCCATCGTCAGTTATTCTCCAGAGCTCTTATTGCCTGCAAAACATTCTGATGGTAGCTGAGGAAGTGAGGAGACATGGAGTGATTTTTGGTAAACAACCCTTTTACAATCGTGTTAGCTTGGATAGCAGTCACTGGCCTTTACCTTAAGATACGAACTAAGCAGACTCAGAGGCTCTCTATGATTTGAGCTGGTATACCACGTGGTTGCCAGTTGGTATTGGTTGACATTCTGGACATTTCAGTAACATGTCACAGATACGATGATAAGCTCCACCCGCCGGAAAGAATTGGTACTAGAAATATTGTCTCTGGTACTACAGTCTATATGAATTTCAAGTCTTAGGTAATCACTCAAGTTAGGTAAGTGTCTCGAAAGTTAGGTGCACTGAGTTAAGTTTTGCAAACTTGAAGCTATTCTGCCTATAAGACAAACATTTCTGGCACACCGTAGCGACTTCAAATTTTTGGGCACACTTTGAAAGTCTTGACGAACTTTGCGATGTAGCATTTAGACACACTTTGCCAATTTCAAGATCTTCCTCAAAAGGTTAGGATTTCCCATGCAAAAATAATACGTCCTAACAATTTCACGTGAAAATTCCGAAGTACTTCACGTTAGGGTGAAAAAAGCTTGCGACCAAAGTTCAAAAGTATGTAAACTTACCCACTGACTTCATCCTACAAGTATCGCCGGTAGATCGCGGGACAACTAACTGCGTAATATCTGTTTTTCCATAGCTAATTTGAACCGGGAAATCAGTCTGCATGTATTAAAATTTCTCCAAATACCATCCTGAACTTACCGCATAAGAAACATAGTTATTCATAGTTCTGTCAGTGGTTTTCATTCTAGAATAACCCTTTAAGGGGTATGTTAAATTTTCTGACAGCTAAGTTGAAGTTTTGTTAGACGGCTTACTATTAGATGAGTAAATGCATAGTGAATTGTATGTGAACCCCTCCAGATTCAGAATTTTACAGAATTCAAAAGGCTGACTAAGCAATATCTTTAAATGTTTACTATTTTCTTACTTCTGAACAGTTTCTTCACAGCTTGTAAATAATCGACGATGTAAAACACTGCAATCGACGTCACAACAACAGCCATTGTCACAGTTGTTTTTGATCACATCACAAGAACATGAACCTTTGAATAATGCTTAAACTTAGTTCATACTTTCCACTTTTGAAATAAACGATATCCATAAAACTGAGTACAAAGCAAGTAGTTTCATAATCGGACATAGCGACAACCACGACCTGTTGCCTGATTAAAACAAAAAAGCATCACCAATGAAATATATTCATTTGTTTTCAACTGTTACAAAAGTTCTGTATCCAGTCTTCTTGATACGATTTTTCCAAGATATTAAGTAAGTATTGGAGTTCAAATGTGTTTGTGTCTGCGGAAACGCTTGTCAAATGAAAAATAAAGAAAATAATTTTTATTTTTTTGATCTCCATGAGAACATAGGTTTTGAAGGACAGACTCTTAGGTGGCTAAACGTTATTTGCAGACCATTTCTTCTGTGTGCATGCGCTGACAACTTACTGGCTGCTAGCGCACATTGGAAGCGACACATTATTCGTCTCTAAATGCTTCATGAAATACTTGACGAGATGGAGATGATGGAGTCTGAATTCAAAACAAGCTGATGAACATTCTTAGAACACCTGATCACATGGCGTAAAACTCATGGAAGACTAGCACTTCACCGTACCAACTAAGAAGTTTCTAGACTTCACATGCCGTCCTCTCATTTTCGTTTTCTCATCACTGCTGTGGATGCTGCTCTACAATCGGGCACGGCAAAAACGATTTCCTACTTATACGATCCACTGTAAAAATACCACGTGTCTCCCCACCCAGGACCAAGTCGAAAAGTACAGAAGCAAATGTTTCATACCAAAACCTCATTCGACTTACCGTTTTATCTGGAGCGTCACAGTTCTCCAGAATCAATAGCCCAGGGTTTGACGAGATCCAACATTGATGCTGACCCTGATAGTTTAACTGGACTCACTGAGCTGAAGGCACCCGGTCAAGCACCCTCGCCATTCGACACGCTGTAGTGTTACGTTGCGCTGCTCATGATCGACCCTCTGGCCAGTTAGTTGGAATACGTCGGTATCTTGGCATGACCTTGCAAGTATACTATTCCACCCGACTACGCTACTGTGTTCTTTCTTGGTCTCATATTCGTGGGTATCCAACAAGTTCAAATGATCGGTGATTAGCCTCTGTGTCTGTCAACTTCGTACCAGGACAAATTCTAAACATCCATATATTACTCCTTTCCATGTGCTACCATACTCCGAAGCTTATCCGTATTAAGCCAATGACGAACTTTATCCAACTCGTGCCATACTGTCCAGATAATGCAGAAACATGGCTTCTGTATGACGAGGCAGATTTCCGATAACTAGGAGTCACAGATCCTCATTCTCAATTTCCTGCTGTCATACGCACACTACTGCGAGAATTAAACAGGTATGTTACAGCATATATGTTTAGTCCTGAAGTACGTGATCCTTATGCACTTCTTAAAGCCGCACTCTTGAAGAAAAGCGATTGGACAGACCACCAGCGCCTAGACAAATTACTTCGTAACATCGAACTAGGCAGCAAATCGGCTACTGAAGTCCCTGCACGCATGCGAGAAGTTATGGGCGCACAAACATTCTACAATGGCCTTTTCCGAGAACTATTTTTCTCGAACCTACCACAACCGGTGCAAGCCTTGCTGGTGACACTGCAGTCAGTCCCTCTTGATGACCTGGCAGCCTCGGCAGATAAAATACTGGAGATCCCTAGCAGACCCATTTCCAACGTATATTCTGTCTACGATAAACCTGATAGGCAGGATTCAGAGGTGACAAAGCTGTGCAACTCTGTTAAACAGTCGCTACTACCTCGAAGTCCTAGGTTACGTAGCATTCCACAGAAGCTCATCTTAGCGCGTCTCAACAACTCACATGGTTGTTCAAACACTAAACCTAACAGGTTGGAAAACCCGAAATGGTGCTGGTATCATAATAATTACGGAGACGGAGCCAGAAAATGTCGGAAACCATGCAGTTTTAACAGGGGCACAAACTCGGGAAACGGCCACACCGGCACGTGTTCACGGCAACCTAGCCGGCGGAAACAGCAGTTTGCTCTACGTCACCGACATAAAAACGAAAGTTCGCTACCTCGTCGACACCGGCGCAGAAGTTAGTGTTCTTCCCGCAACGACAAACGAGCGTCATCTTGACCCATCCTTCAGTCCCCAGGCAGCCAACGTCGAGACAATCGCGACATTCGGGAGACAGTATGCCTACCTCAACTTAGGCTTACGTAAACCTATCCACTGGATTTTCCTCCTGGCTGACGTCTCTATGCCCATCATTGGCACAGACTTGCTAAACCATTACGATCTACCCGTAGATGCTCACCGTCGACGTCTGATACATAACAACACAAAAGTAACGAACTGGGCATTATCAAACCGTCAAACAGTCCTTGCGTATCACCATTGCATACGGTTCCCAAAAAGGATAGCAACGACTGGCGTCCAACCAGTGATTACCGGAAGCTTAACGTCAAAACAACACCGGACTGCTACCCGGTACTTCACGTTTGCTACTTTACTGTGGCACTATGAGGAATGATCACATTCTCCAAAACCGATCCGATCAAAGTGTACAGGCAGATATCGAGGTCAGCAGAAGACATCGCGAAAACGGCCATCATTACTTATTTTGGTTTATTTGAATTCTTGAGCATGCCATTTGGTCCTCGGGATGCAGCACAAGCATTCCGACGCCTTATGGATGATGTCTTCCGTGCTTTAAATTTTGTCCACGTCTACATCGATGACTGTTTCATTGGGAGTCCAGATAAGGAAACTAACCCTAAACGCTTGGACTTCATATTCGGTAGACTAAAAGACTTGGCATCACAGTCGACTTGCAGAAATGCGAAATAGGATTTGAATCACTCAGCTTCCTTGGGCATGCCATTGACAACAAAGGTATGCGCCCGTTGAGAGACAAAGTGGAGGCTATCATGAACTATCCAGAGCCGACTACTGTGAAACATCTCCGCACTTTCAATGGCCTGGTAAGTTATTACCGTGCCCCTGTCATGAGGCCACTCACAGATCTACTTCGAGGGTCTACGAAGTGCGTGGCTCCGGACAAGGTGGCTAGACTTGCTTTCTCTAAAGTCAAGGAAGTCATTTCAGACGCAGCCATGCTTATGCATCACAACCAGAATGCTCCTTTGAGGATTGATGTTGATGCATCTGACCCAGCGATTGGACCAGTTTTGTAACAGTTGACTGACAACCAGTGGCAACCTTTAGACTTTTTCTCGAGACGGCCTCAAGACGAAGAAACAAGATACAGTACATCTGATAAGGAAAACCGGGCTATCCACTGTTCTGTGCTCCATTTTTGACATTCGGTGGAATGTCATGACTTCATTATTTTCACAGACCACAAACCGTTAACCTCTCTTGGCTCGGCATCGGACAAATACTCCCCTCATGAGTCGCGACAGCTTGACTACATTTCCAAATTCACGTCGGATATCCACCACATTTCTGGAGCAGATAACTCCATAGCCGGAGCACTATCTCGAATGGCGTCGATGAGCCACATCGAGGGTGTTGATCTCGTTGAACTGGCTGGGTGTCAAAACAAAGACCCTGAGCTGCATCATGAGTTGTCGCCCATATCACTCAAGCCGCAACTGTGTCCAGTAAGGTCAAGCAAGGATACAATTTTATGCGGCATCTGTGCTAGTCAACCACGCCCAATAGTTCCCAAAAGATGTCGACGCAAAGTCTTCATTACGTTGCACAAACCGTCCAATCCGGGCGTACGAGCCACCATTAAACTTGTTGTACAGCATTTCTGTTGACCAAGAATGAACAAAGACGTTAAGGGGTGGGCTCATTCGTGCTTAGCTTGTCAGAAGTACAAAGTCAAACGACACACGAAAAGCTCCCTAGATTCTTTTCTAGCCCCAGACATGCGTTTCGACCACGTCTGTATAGACACTATAGGACCTCTACCAGAATCTAATAAATGTGCCTGCCTTTTCATCTGCGTGGATCGTTTCAGGCGACGGCTAGAAGCAGTACCTATTAAGGATATTACTGCTAAAACAGTAGCTCATGTTTTCGTAGAAAGATGGTTTGCGAACTTCAGATGTCCATCTTACGTCCCAACCAACCGTGGACTCCAATTCGAGTGTGGATTATTTCACACTTCAACTGCACTTCTAGGTTGCACCCGGTTCCAAGCGACAGTCTACCTTCCACAAGCAAATGGCGTGGCGGAACGCTTTCACCGAGAGCTGAAAGCTTCCTTCTGAGATGCAAATATACCTCGGTGGACCGAGGCTTTACCTCTGGTCTTACCAGGTATTCGTAACGCTTTGAAAGCCGGTGCTGGATGCACCTCTGTAGAACTTGTCTGTGGGACCACTCTTCGCCTACTAGGTGAATTTGTTCCCCCCTCAACTTTCAAACATGTTTTCGACAGGACGTCTTACTTGACTAGGCCTACAAACGCAATGCGTTAAGTTAGGCCTCCTCCTGTTAGACCTCAGATAACCGATTTCTTCGTTCACCCCATTTTACAAAAGACATCGCATATGTTCATTCGCCACTTTGCCGTTCGTCGACCACTTGAACCACTTTACGATGGGCCATTCAGAGTGATCAAGCGACACGATAAATTCTATATAATCGGGCAAAGCGGATGTGAAGATACCATTGGTACCGACCGTTTGAAACCAGCTTATTTCTAAGGCAACCCTATTATAAGTGACGATTCAGCTCGCTATAGCCGATTAGCGGATAGCCCAATAATCGAAATTCTAGATGATATGCCTCATAGTACACGGATACAACAACCACTGGTGCAACAAAAAACACGATCAGGTCGAACCGTCAGGTCCTCGGAGTATATAAAGACATTCAGTTATATAGTTCGACTTAAAATGCGACATTCATTCTTAAACTCAAGCTTTTTCGAGGCACCATTTTTCTCATTTACCGGCAAGGCGAAATCCTCTCACATCCTTCCCTTTTATATCAATTTTTCACCACCACGTAATGACTTTTTCAAAAAATAATGTAACTAAGCATAAAATCTATGTTCGGTATATTTATACATTAACATTTCCCATTTTACGGAACGTTTTTGTGGTATTAAAGACCTTTATTTATATTGGAGGTGCAACGAGCACTGAAGGGAACGTCAAACGACACTGAAGTCCGCGATCGGTGTACAATTTGATTTATTCTATTTTATTTATCATTTGCCACGACACCCTGGGAAAGGCTCACACAATCAAGGGCCGCTTCTCACAGTTTGCCCACCGGAAGAGTCATACCAGTAGAGAAACCACCGGGTTTTTGCTTCCGGCCTGTGGGCTTAGGGTTCTCACGAACCCACTGGGGGGTGATCTGTAGCGTCACAGTTCTCCAGAATCAATAGCCCAGGGTTTGACGAGATCCAACATTGATGCTGACCCTGATAGTTTAACTGGACTCACTGAGCTGAAGGCACCCGGTCAAGCACCCTCGCCATTCGACACGCTGTAGTGTTACGTTGCGCTGCTCATGATCGACCCTCTGGCCAGTTAGTTGGAATACGTCGGTATCTTGGCATGACCTTGCAAGTATACTATTCCACCCGACTACGCTACTGTGTTCTTTCTTGGTCTCATATTCGTGGGTATCCAACAAGTTCAAATGATCGGTGATTAGCCTCTGTGTCTGTCAACTTCGCACCAGGAAAATTCCTACATATCCAAATATGAGACTGCATACTCAAAAACTACTGTCCGACACCGTAGTGGTATGTTTTCCAGTGATTGCACATCCTTGTCGGCAATCAGGCTGTTGCTGTTATGCTGCCTTTGAGTTCCTCATTCCAAAAAACACCCACACTTCAAAAGTCCTGCAGTCTTTATGCTTATTGTTATTTGGTCCCCACAAGTGAGTGAGATTCATATGCCAAACTGCCCATTGTCTTTTCTTGTCTTGGACTCTTGCTTGTTCATCGTTCCATTAGCATAGACAAATGAGTCTCTATTTGCTCTTAAGTTGACTAGTCTTGCGTGATAAAGATATTCTTTTGCATCGCGCTTGCCAGACGCAATCAGTCAGAATGTTTGGTGTTGATGAATTGTGGTGTACGTGTTATTGTCTCTCTATATTCAAAGTGAGTTGCCTTCAATAACATATTCCATTCCCTGCAAAATACGAATTAAATTCATCTTCTCGAAAAACCGAGTTGCCTTTTTCTATGATCAGGCTGAACTGTGTAGGAACTTTGGCCCTCCGTTTTCCTATTGCATTCCGTACATTAATTCTACTCATTTAAACCTGTTGGTCCACTTTGAGCAATGAACCTGCATCAGCCAGAATTGTAGGGTTGAATCAAGTATATAAGAAAGTCGTAAACTGGTGCGTGCCTGTATTTTCAAGAAAAAACATCACTGCTATTATCACTGGATAATGCACTTTGGGCTACATGTTGAGCTTATGCGCCCATTAGCAAGTATCGTGTTTTCTGGCAGAAATGAAAATCGTATTTACCGGACATGTAAAAGTATCATGCAACGAAGAAGGAGGGCAATTCAGCAAGTCTATTCTCGAGTAAGTGATGCTGGCCTATTTAATCAAGGGTTTTTGTCAGAAAGAACGTAAATATAGAGGAAAGTATCGCAGCATGTTAATTATCATTATCATGATTATTCATGGACATACTGGTGCACCATTTTTACAGGTATAGGTAAGTTTCTACACAGATTGCATGTCTTAATGGAAGGTAACCTCAATCCCCACCTGTTGTCACTGAGAGATATGAGTGCTGCACCTTCATATAACGAAACATCCCAGCAGAATAAGTATGCAGAAAGTTTACAAATTGAGCAAGCGGAAGTATTGTCTTCGACACTACATGTATTACCTGGGAAAAGGGATGTATGAAGCTAATACTTCCATCGCAACAGTCTGTACTTCTTGCTTGAGATAATGATAAAAAGTTTACGAGGGAATTTATGCACAAACTGCTTACTTGTTGTACTTCATTGATGATTCCGGAACTGTATAGTCCATGTATGTTAATACCATTCCACATCAGAGACTCATAGTCTTGATGAATAAAACAACCGAGAGCCGAATATCTTCTCTTTTCTAGCTCCGGTATCAAGAAGCAACAAACTTGTTTGAATGTGCCATGTGGACTTCCAGGACATCTTGTCCGCCATTGACACTGGCCGTGACAGCCCAGTGGTCGGTAAGTGCTGGACTTTCTTGGTCACTTTTACACGGAGTAAATCCTAAATTCAGATACTTATGAAGTTTTAGTCCAGCGAACGCTTCTTATTTCTGTTTGTTGTAGTGAGGCATTGTGAAGGTAGCACAGCTGGTTGCCCCCCGTGAAGGGTAGTCTTGGCCAAGGTCTATTCCTTGTATAATTAGTCCTCGATGACTACCGAGCCAACATTCAGAACTGAACTGCTTTTC